TTGTAGGCTTTTTTGCACAAGTCGGCCCAGCCGATCGAGCTGAACAAGGTGGCCTGTGTCCACCTTTGATTTGGGCGGGATTGAGAGAGAGAGCCGCTAAGATAACTCGTATCCAGCCGAGACAAATAAATATCTAAAAGTGCACGAACTAATATCCGTCTGAGTTGAGAAAAGAGAGAGAAAAACATGGCCCACCATCTGCTACTTTTGTTGCTTTTGATAAATTTTCACATAGGAGAGATCTTGCGTATTTAGTGCTACCCACAACTATTCTCACATGAAAGAGAGAAATCAACCCAGATTAATATTCATATCGTCCAATCTAGTATCCATCCTTAACCAAAATATTATCCATGGGCCGAAGGAAATTAGTTTATGTGGTCGGATATTAGTCTGGGCGGCATGGATATTTATTTTTGCATGAACTGATATTATATGCGATGGATATTAGTTTGTGAATTAATTGTGTTTTCCATCAAAACTAAACACACTATCAAGTCCTAACACATAAGGCTTGCAACTTTAGTTAGGGCTGCCCGCCGAGGGCCCATTGGCCAAAGGCCAATGAATCAATAGTAGTAGGAGAGTGAGTGTCTTCCAGTCCTTGATATTAGTCTGTTTGTGATTTCAGATATTAGTTTATATGATTGGATATTAGTCAGGTTGTCAAGCATATTTGTTCGTTAAAGAGTGGATATTATTTCTAGTGTGGATTGATGTTAGTCTGAGAGCCACGAATATTTGTTCGATAAAGGACATATATTTATTTTGGGGTGAATGGGTATTTGTATGGACGGTATGGATGTTTGTTTTATGAACTTGTATTATATGTGATGGGTATTAGTTTGTAACTATTCACATCTAAACCTTATGATCACTATTTCCATGTGAACCTTGTACTAACTATCAAATGTCATCTTTATTTATTTAAGCATCCACCCTAACATACTGATTTCCCAACTTACCCACCATATTGATCTTCTCTTCTCAAACGACTTCCATGTCTTCAGAATCGTAGAATGAAGATAACACCGAGGAAACCATCCGGAAATGAAGTTTTTTTTTTTGTCATGGTAGGTCTTATATTAGTCTGTTTATGATTCCGGATATTAATTTACGTGGCTGGATATTAGTCAGGGTGTCAATGATATTTGTTCGCCTAAGGATGGATATTATATCTGGAATGGATGGATGTTAGTCTGGGCGCCACCGATATTTGTTCGATAAAGGACATATATTTGCTTTGGGTTGAATGGGTATTTGTTCGATAAAGGACGGATAAAGCCCATTATGTAACCGAATATTAGTTTTGCGTGATTAGATTTTTTTGTTTCCTTTATTTGGATATTAGTCTGCATGGTTGTTCCTATTAGACCTTTTGATTAATAATATTCGTGCTTGCCCAAAAGAGTATCCATCATCCTTTTACATCACAAAGCTAATGTTCACTTTCATCAAAATCATTTCAAAACCCCCAACTAATTACAACCACGGTGGGTATTAGTCTGTGATGGTGAGGATATTAATTATGGGCTGACTGGATATTGGTTTTAGACGGTGGGATATTAGTCTAGGTGGTGTGGATATTTGTTATGGTGAACCGATAATAGTGTGGGTGGTTTGGATATTTGTTTTGTGTGGATGTTTATCTATGTTTGTTTGTGTTGATATTGAGTTTAAACAAATCCATATAAAAAAAATTCGTTTTTTGACAAACCGCGATGCAACTAGTATTAATGTCATGCCAACTTGACAATCTCATAATCTAAAATCCGAAAAAGTACAACCACATAAAAAATGAAAAAGGAATAGTTCAAATGTTGTCTTGCTTTGCCAAACCCTCGATTATCTTTTTGATCATGCCCCTCCGAGCCCCCACGTTTCGATCATGCCACGATGAGGTTGAGATGGTCCTTCTCCTAGTTGCGGTCTCTTCACTGCTATTTTAGTTCTTGTCATTATCCAATATCCCTTTAGCATAGATAAATATCTAGGTATCAATCAACTGATATCCCGACCACAGAAAACTACATGAAACTAACTAATATCCATCACGAAATTAACTAATATCCACCATAAAACGAACCAATGTGCAACGCTTTCCAGCCCGACCAAAACTAATACCAATTATGGAATATCAGCTACATTAAACGAATACCCAACAAATTCACAACTGATATCTTGCCCGAACAAAACTAATACCGCAGCGCAAACTAAACAAATCCAGAAATCCACAAAACCCATAAAAAAACGAGAAGCAAAAGAAAGCAACCCAAATCCAATCAAATCTAGGTAACTAGACAACAAATCCATAAAACTCATCCAAAAAAACGAAGGAAAAGGAAAACACATATCTAGTCCAAACCATGCAACCCTAACTTGAATCTACTCAAACGATTGCCGTCAAACCAACTGTCGCTGCTTTGTCACTGTCAAACCAAGCCCTTCGTCGCCGCCGTGTCGTTTGCACCGAGGACAATGTAGATCTGCAAATATGTGATATCTCCCTCGCCTTCAAAGGCTCTTGCCCCTTTTCCCTAAATGAAAATAGAACAATCACCTTCAAAAACTCAATTGAATCACAATAAGAAAGGTGTAGAATGAAATAGACGCAGGAGAGAGAGAGAGAGAGAGAGAGAGAGAGAGAGAGAGAGAACCACGGTTACCGTCATCTTCTTCCTTCAAGCACGACTACCGTCACCGACAACTTCTTCCTTCTCGCGATACCATCGTCGCTGTTGTTTTCACAGTCCCCGCCAACTTCTTCCTCACAGTCGTCAACAGAGAGTGTTTCTGGTGGTTTATTGAGCGGGAAAGGGAGTAGGAGAGAAAAATGTTTTTGAGGAGAGAGGAAGGAAACTCACGAAATAATGGAAGGAGAGGAGAAGACTAAAGAAAAAGCTATTCTTTTTTTAATTTGTGGCCCCTTTTCTCTTTAGTTGGGTAGTGGGACAAGCCAACCGAGCCATTTAGCTGCTCTCCTCTCCTCACATGCCTGCGCCAATCATCTTCGCCGTCGGATTGCGGCTCAACTACATGGACAACCATATGTCCCTGTGAGTATATACTCACAACTTACCTTGTGAGCAGGATAACTATATTGTCCCCCAAGCACACAGTAGAATGGCACCAAGAAACATCAAAGAGACAGAGAAGCAAGCAAAGTTGTCAAACCGGGTTAAGTCAATGAGTCGGTTAAACAAGGGGTTTGAGGATTAATGGTCTAACCGAAATCCAGCCGGTATAAGCTGGTTTAGTCATTTTTTAAATATATTTACAAAGAAGGTAGTAATTAATGATTTAATAACTGAAATGAAACTTATTTTACATGCATCTATTAAAAATTTATTTTCCACAAAATAAATCTAACAAATTTATTTTCTACAAAATAAATCTAACTAACTTTCATGACCCACCCACCATCTTCTGATAGAACACGGATCTAAGTGTACGATTTATCGTTTGGGATCGATATGAGAATTAGGGATTTGGATGAGAAAGAACTTGGATTTAGGTGAGAGAGAAGCAGAGGTTTGTTCCCGTAGAGGGATGGCCGACGACAAGAAGAGGAGGGAGAGGGGTTCGGCTAGGGTTGAGAGAGAGATAGACTTAGGGAATAATTATTATGTTATTGCTTCCCTCTAACTTTCCCCTAACACAATATATATATATATATGGGGAGTACTGCGGTACCCACGGTAAAATTCGGGGTACCACATACCTTTAGTACGAAAACGCTATCCAAAACTTGAATTGACTGATCTTTCGAACATGATACTATACTCTAACCCTTAAAGATCAAAATCTAGGTCTTAATTCTCTAAATCTTATACCTCAAGATCAATTTAATTAGAAAAAATAATCGACGGTTATGATTCGTCCAAATATAGGCAAAAAAATCAATGCACCATCTTAGAGTTTATAGTTTATGATTTAGATAATTAGGACCTAGGGTTCACTCATTAAGGGTTAGAGTATAGTATCATGCCCAAAAATCCTGCTAATTCGCGGTCTAGATAGCGTTTTCATACTCAAGGTATGCGGTACCCTGGATTTCACTCGAGGTACATTCAGTGCACTCACTTCATAACCATCATTTTAAACATGCGATTTATGTAAAAATTATGTCGATCATCACTTATGATGTGATGAACAATAACGCACATGAATTTGCACAAAAACCATTGAAGATTTACTTTAATTTGAAGGATTTAGAGTTTAGAGATTTAGGGTTAGGGTTTACAATTTGGGGTTTAGGAATAGAACTCAAAATTAGAGGTCTAAGGCTTAGGGTAATCGGCTAATTAGTTGTTATCATACGTTATATCATCATATTACACTGATTCTACAAATTCAAATTCAAAATCCGGCACCTTAAGACTAGTTTTTGAATTGGGTGCATTGAACGCACCCATTTTTGTGAGTGCACCGAAGTAGTCACTATATATATGATGGCGTATTCGGTGCACCCACTTTTTTGGGTGCACCCGCCTCATAATTGTCATTTTGAGCATGCGATTCATGTCAAAACGGTATCAATTGTTGCTTATGATATTATGGACGAGACGCACATGAATCTGGAAAAAAAATATTCAAAATTTACTTTAATTTGAAGGATTTAGGATCTAGGGATTTAGGATTAGGGTTTAGGTTTACAATTTGGGATTTTGGGTTGGAATTCAAAATTGAAGGTTAAGGGGTTAGGGTAATAGATTGGTTTGTTATGATTCTATGTCATATCATCATATTAGATTGAGAGTACTAATTAAAGTTCAAAATTTGATGTACTATGATCACTTTTAGAGTTGCTGCACCCAAAAAAGTGAGTGCGTCGAACTAGTCACCATATATATATATATATATAATTCGACTAATTCCCTCTAACTACCTGAATAATTAACTTAACCGAATGACCCCCAATAGCTCCCGAAATACCCAACATAATATCAAATATCCCGAATAATAATTAATGACAATAAACTCCAAAAGAATGTGTTTCTGACATCTTCCTTCCTTTGTTACTCTTCCTCTCTTCCTCCTCTCTTCTTCTCCCTCTTTAGGGGTCAGACCGGGAAGTTTTCTATAGGCTATTTTGAAGCCCGACTTAGATCGGACCGGGTCCAACCGGGAGTCCGATAAAGGGTTTAACAACATTGAAGCAAGTAACATGAAAAAAGGACCTAGTCTATATACGGGCGAAGTTGCAACTACTAAGAATGCAATGCATAGCCGGAAAGCGGGAACAGACTAGCGTCCTGCCAAAGAAGACCAAAGAGCAAGAAACGATGCTGTAGAGCTTCAGTAATCTGTAGACTGTAGTTACTGGGTTAGCTCCCCAGTGATTCGATATGGCACAAACAGTGAAAAAGCTGCAGTCAAAACAGAAAGGCAAAGAGGGCGGTGAAAGACTTGATCTTACAACCTCTGGCCTCTAGTCATCCTTCCAGTTCCTGCAAGATAACCATGCAGCACTTGCAAAATGAACAGGTTTCACCTCTTCAACGTCATTCTTCAGCTGATATTGTTCTACAGACGCGTAAATGGCAACCCTTCACTGCAGGTATGAAGATACTAATTGAGCGCCTATGATCATGGAACCTTGTATATGTAATTCCGTTGACAGAATCAAACAAAAGGATAAGGTAAAATTTCTATACCACGTTGTGAAGTTATCCATCCATGTGCAAGTGCAACTACCATAAAACTAATCAGAAACTCTGTCATAACCTCATCCTGAAATAGAAACCTGCAGTAGAAAACACCGCAACAAACAGAAGAACAAATGGAGCTTTTCCACATGTTTAGATCCCACTTTCAGTAAAGCACATAATAGTTAACTGAGAACTTCACCATGAAGGCTTGTGATCTTGAACTCTGAAGTTTTTTCTTGGTTAACACGAAACAAGAAATGTGCAGCAAGTAATATATAGAACAAATTTTTGTGTATTTGATTCATTCAACTGCTGATTTACTCGGGAAATGAAAAATGACCCGTGTTTGATCAATCTTGAAAACTACGTGTAAATCAATTACATAATGAATCGAAATGACCAACTCACTGATATAGCCTTAAAACTATTCACTCTTCCAAGCATACAAGACCAACTTAAAATCAAGATTTTGATGTGATTTGCAGTCCACGAATCTCTGTGAGAATGATGACCAAGTCAACAAACTCATATCATCGTCGTGCTGCTGCTGGCTTCCTCCGCCCCACAGCTTCTCAAGACACGTCCTGAACATAAACACAGCATTCCCTACTGAACTAACCCCACCAAACAGCCAATTATGAACATCCCACAGAACTTCAACAGCTAAACCATCAACCAGTATGGTGTGGTTGCCACGGAACTTCCATTTCAGCCGCTTCACCTGCAACACCGTCTTGCAGTCCACTCGAACCATGAGGCACGGATCGCTGACCCCAATCGTGTCACATTCAAGGATGAGATCGTGGACCTGACCATTGTCACAGAATTGAGCCTTAGTGCTGAACACTTTCTTGCCAGAGAGATGTTCCCTCTTGGCTACCAAAACAGCACTAGAAGTAAGAGGTAGAATGGCACTGGCGTTGGTTTTCTTGAAGGCTTCTTTAGTCATGTCCCCCAGAAGGAGAATCATTTGCTTGTCTACTACAGCTGCGACGTAGAACCCTTGTTGTGGTTCAGGGCTACCGGATCCGAATTTCGCTGAAGAGAGATCCCAATAGACGTCTATTTTACATGAGTAAGCTTCCAAGCTCCTCGACCCTTTCTTCTTAGAGAACAGCCACGGTTTAATTTCAACTTTGCAAAGACAATGGTGTGAGGAATCGTCGATTCCAAGGGCTAGTCCTAGACCCATCAAGGTTTTGGTCCAGGAGACAGTGATCCAGCAGGAACGGCCACGGATTCGACATTGGTACAAGCAAGTGACTAGATTCTGAGCAGTTTTAGTGACGGTTGAAGACGAGGCAAAAGAAGAAGAAGAATCGGCTACCTGAACTCCATTCTCGCTGAAACAAGAGGGGAAATCTCTCATTTTTCTGTTCTCTCTCTCTCTCTCTCTCTCTCTCTCTCTCTCTCTCTCTCTCTCTCTCTCTCTCCGGACTTTTGTCGAACAGTTAGAGCTCAATTCCGGGTCCTGCTCCTGCAAAAAGAGAGATTTTCAGACACGGAACACTGGTGAAGGACTGGGAGCTTGACCGGAGAAGAAAGAGCACTTACGTCAAAAACCCATTTCAGAAATGACTCGGAAACTGGGAATCGAGCACTGATCTGGGTATGACGAGGAATGGAGTGAGTTTAAGGCATTTCCCCAAAGAGCACATGGGAGTGAAGAAAGGAAGGGAGAAGTGACAAATCCAAATTCAAGACATAAACGGAGCAAAGCAAGTAAAACCAGATGAGAGAAGGAGACAAAAACGGGGAGCTCGTTTCATCGTCAATAATACTCAATACCCATCTCCAAAAACAAAACAAAAATAAAATAATGGAGACTACCCGAACAAATAAACAAATCAAAAGGCCTAATATCTATTTTTTATCCAAACTTTTTTCAGAGTCTTTTATTTTATTTAAATCTATTAAAATGCTATTAATTATCCAAATCTTTCATAATGAATCAAAATATTAGCCATTTTTACATTATCGTTAATAATTTTGTAACTCTTTTCTTAGTTAAAATACTAAAATTTTGTAATGTTGACCTTCATGTGTCTCTTCCAAATCACTATCATGTTGCCAAGTCAATATTACTAACAAAATTGCTAACTGAAAGTTAACATTTGGTTAATTCTTAGTATTTTGATAGGTTTGGCTAATAAAAAAGAATCTGAAAAAGATTTGGATAAAAAAATAGAAATTGCCAAACAATGTATGCATACATTATTACAAATTGATTAAACAAGAAAGTGACAGCCAATCTCAACAGAGAAAAAAAGAAAGGAAGAATTGCAACTTGGAGAAGAAGAGATTTTGGAACTGGGTACATTGTTCTTCGTCCTGAAAAAAAAAAGCCTGCGTTTTGAAGTGTTGCGGTTACTTAAACCGTGTTAGTATTGGGATTTGTTGGGCCTTGTCCAAGTTGTAGTAGGTACGAATATGTGGCCGTACTCTACTCTTCTCATTAGCATTTTAACCCTGGTCTACCTCTATATAAGCTTAGCTACGAGATTGTTGTAAGCAAGCCGTCAAGATGTAATCCTAATAAGAGATCAGTCGTGAGCTCTTATGAGCTCACCTTGGATTAGTCTCGATCAATCGATCGAGGGTACCACGTAAAATCGTTGTCTCGTGTGTTATTCCAATTCTGCATTATCAAATTCTACATGGTATCAGAGCAAACTCGATCCCTTGTCTAGGGTTTTGAGCTTCCGCAGTTAGCATCAGTTGCCTCTCCGGCAACATCGACGTCATCAGTTCAACCTCTGTCGTCTTTGCAATCGTCCGGCGGTAAGCAAGAATAGAAGCCGCGGAAGTCGGTTCCTTCTAGTCTCCGTCAAGGCCCACAATTGAGGCTTGTTTTCGGTCATCTCAGCCTTGCATCAGCGATGCTCGTGTTTCAGATCGGCCGTCGAGTCTATCAAAATCCGGCAAAGCTGGCGTCCCGTCGATTCTTCCGCAATCATAGGCGAAGTCCATCCCGCCATCGATAACGAGATCTCCAGTCCTAAGCCATCGCCATCGACTGTGCTCCTATTACCGATCGTCATCACCATAGAGCGCCGCTGACCCCGATGGTGAATCGAGTGTCGCGCCCATCATCCGACTTCACCATCGTCGTCCTTGTCGTTGTTGGCCGGCATCATCGACAGAATCCGAGTGAAGGCCGTCGTCAGCGGCCAATTCAGTACCAAGAGTTTTCTTACTGTCGAAGTCAATTTCATTAAGTCAAGGAGGTTTCTTACTGTCGACGGGACTTCAATCAACTTGTCAAGAATCACGACAGTTCATAATCGCCGACCAATCAAGTCAATCAGTGCACTAACTACAGCCGACGAATCATGCTTCCATCACTAGCAATCCATCTCGTTTCATCGTCAAACAGTGGCCTGGTTTTCTCTGTGATGTCGCCTTATATTAGCATCCTCGCTAGGCGTGTCCTGTTGGATAAGAAGTGTCGTCGTCCTGAATTCTTCTCATCTTTGCGGCCAAGTTTCCAGAAGCTTATGTTGTTCGGTTGGGTTAACTAAGGTTGGTGGGAGTCCGGTGGGTAAAGAAATTACATTGTCATCATCCCTCCTGTCTTGTGTTCGTGGCTTCCATCCTAAAGCTTGCCTATTCTTCATCAGTCATGGTCTCGACCACATTGATCAATCAACAACCAATTTTTGTCATGCCACCATCAAGATCACAAAGCCGCCATCATCAGGAGATCAAATTTTGTGCTTTGATGGAGATAAAGGGGATTTTCTTTTCCCCGGCTTGAAGTTTGCCACAAATTGGCCGTCAGCTCTACGTTGTGGTCGAAAAAGCCCTTATGGGCTCCCATATCTGATTTAGTAAGAGTTTTATGTGCTCTTCAGTTAGATTTTTGGTCAATTATTTTGTTTGCAGGCTTTTGCTAGCAAAGATAGACAAGTATCGATCGAGGCATTCACGATTCATTAAATGATCGCCCCTGGCGTTCAAAAGGTAGTACGATCAGATAAGTCATCGTCCCTTCATCGTCCAGCTGGCATTCACGATCTAAGAAATGGTCGTCCCCTCTTCCGGTTCAGTATTGGGCACATATCAACCATTCATCGCTTTTCAAGCTGGGCATTCACGATGTTCATGCTCCATCTTGAGGGGGAGAATAGGAGGTCAACATACGTCGGTCGACTAACTCAGTCATCAGGTCGCCCGCAATGTACCAAGTGTATTCAAGATTAAGAGACTCAATCAATCGTCTCCATCGTCAGGTTTTTCATAGAGACTCAGTCGTCTCCAATCAACCTTATCCGAGATGTTATTCATCTCGAGTTTTGTGATTCAAGCCATCATGCTTGTTCTTCACATTTACTTCTTCAAGCTCGACATTCTTGTCATTCATGTCTTCGCTTGAGGGGGAGTGTTGCGGTTATTTAAACCGTGTTACTATTGGGCCTTGTTGGGCCTTGTCCGAGTTGTAGTAGGTACGAATATGTGGCCGTACTCGACTCTTCTCATTAGGGTTTTAACCCTAGTCTATCTCTATATAAGCTTAGCTACGAGATTGTCGTAAGCAAGCCGTCAAGATGTAATCCTATTAAGAGATCAGTTGTGAGCTCTTATGAGCTCACCGTGGATTAGTCTCGATCAATCGATCGAGGATACCACGTAAAATCGTTGTCTCGTGTGTTGTTCCAATTCCGCATTATCAAATTCTATGCGAAGATTACCCAACAGTGATCACTGGAGTAAAAACAAGAAGAAAAGATTCGCCCTTTCATCCATTCCTCTCTATGTTGCTCAAAGGGTTCACTTCCTTTTCTGTTTATTTTACTCGACAGATTCACATGTAAAGAGTAAAAGGAAAAAAATAACAGCGTACATTGAGGAAAAACAGAGCACCTGTCATTTAGTGGAGGAGTATTTAATGGATGTTCAAAGGTTGTACCCCCACCTTACTCTACTCCTTCCGTTAGTGTCGATTCCTTTTAGCACAGGCTCAGCCCAAATTGTTACTCTTTCGCTGCCCAGAAAAACATTGCTGTAGATTTAGAGAAGACGAAGAAAGAGGGAGAAGAGCGAGAGCAAGAGATAAAGAAAAGATGAGCACAAGGAAAGGGGGAGAATAAGGAAATGGTTGGGTCATTGGTTGGGGGTTTAAGGAAGTTATTGCAAAGCACGACTTGATTTTTTTCCTTTTATATTTTTTTATTTATGGGTTTTTTTGTTTCTTCTACCCTTAATTGTTTTTCTCAAATCATGTACACGAAATATCTCCTTAAATTATGATTGTAATGGATGTTGAGTTTGTTAATTGGGGGTTGATATTAAAGATGAATTGAAAGGTCTTTCCATTGAAGAAGAGGATTGCAGTTATTTGTTCGTTTTTGTAGTCTTTCCACCCATTAAATGGTCTAATAAGTAATAATAATAAACATTGCCTTTGGAGTTGAAATTGAAGATGATTTGAGTGAAGCTTGGAGATCAACCTCGGAAGTGAAAGAGATGAAGTTGACGAGAAATATAAATGGTATTATCCTGGAGTTTAACAAGATAAATTATATTCATAAACTTTTCTTTCGTTAGTTATTTAATTGATTTGATACAGTCCTATATAGCATTTTTAATGAGCCGAGCTATTCGTGAGCAGCTCATTCTTTAATTCAACAAAAGCTTGTTCGATTAAAAAATATCGGCTCATTTATTAACAACACACATCCACTTTCGTCTTCTACAGCAGTAGAATTGTATTTCATATCCAACTGAATTTTTTATAGTGTCATAGGATTATCATACCTTATCATCTTTTATATATACTAGTCATAAGTCACAAGATACAAGTGGTAGTACCAAGTCGCGGTGGTGGTTAATACATTTTGAATCATCACTTCTAAGCATGTTTACTAATTTAGTGAACTATCATATCAGTGAAACTTTTTACAAGATAAAAATAAAATTTCATTTTATATTAGTTATTCACCACCTTTGAGTGGAGAGATGGGTTAATGGAAGGAGATGGATTCCTCATAGGAGACAAAAGGGAAAGAAAAATGTCATTGGAGGTGAAAGCCAAATAATGTGAAAAGAGAAAGAGAGCAGCAGGTGACCCTTTTTATAAACTTTTAACAATATCGTGTAGATTTTTAGTGGCCTTTTTGTTATTGTGCATTCAGTATGGACCATCTGAATACATGATCATTGTATAGTTTGGTCTTTTTGTTTCCACTGGCCATGCCATGCCATCACAACACAACACTCCAATGGTGCACTCATCAGCTCCCACTCCCCACATATTGATTGTCATTTTAATGCCTTTTTACGACCATTCACCAATGTCTCCCCTTTTCACATTTTCTTATCCAGAAAAGGAAAATAAGAATTGAATCATTATCCTAACTACTTTTTGTTAGATCTAAGTCCTATTTTTTATTGATCGATATTTTGAATCCAAAGTGTCAATGTAATGTCAAAAGTAATTGTAACACATTAGGCAAATTGATTCGGGTCTAATTGTACATATTTTGTCCCCGTTTTACTTAGGAGTTTGTGGCAAATTCACTCATAAAAGGTTGGTTTTACGCTAGATTTCTTGTGTTTTAGTATGTTTCAGGGTTTAACAGGTGAAACCAGCCTCGGAGTTGAAAGTTGGACGAAAAAAATCGAAAACCGGGAGAAGAGGTGAAAAAGGGTCAGTTCACGGCTATCCCAGGAAGTTCACGGTCTTGCACGACCATGAAGAAGAGCCCTTGACAGTGAACCTCGCGGCGTCCATAGCCAAAACAGAGGTTACTGACGTAATGTAAGTTCACGGACACTAAGACCGTGAACGGAGGTTGTTGACCGTGAACAGAAGCGAACGAAGCGGTGCGTTTTGGCGCACACCTGCAGTTCACAGACGCGTTTCATGGTTCATGCTCGTGAACTCAGGCCGTGAACTGAGCTCATCTCTGGTTTAAAAGATGAGTTGAAAGGAGGAGACATGGGAGAGCCCACTTTATGTGAAAAGCCTTCTTCAGATTTCTAGAGAGAAACACGAACCAAAGGAGAAGAAGGCTAGGGTTTTGCTTCAAGGTGGATTTTGGGAAGATTTCCTCCAAGGAAAGTTCAACACAAGGGCCAGGAAGATTGGGAGCATCCTCCAAGATGGTTTCCACCTCTTCTACTTGTGTTTTTCCCATTTCTATCATGGAGTAGATCTCCTTTCACTTGGGTGTTGTGAAACCCAACTCTACCATGTAGTTTCTTTTATGTGAATTGAATGATTGTCATTGGGTATTTATTAATTCAATGATTGAGGTATTATTCATGTAGATTGTGCATGCTTGTGCTTAGCAACCTAGGGGTTGTGCATGTTTTGTGCTTAATATCCTTAGGTTTGTGCATTTTGGTGATAGCAACCTAAGGATTGTGCATAATTGTTCTTAGCACCCTTAGGTTTGTGAATGTTGGTTCTAGTAATCTAATTAGCTACCTTAACCTAGCTTCGAGTGGAAAATCCTCCTTCCTAGGGAGACTCAATCGAGTTGGTTTTCCTTCAGCTTTTAAGCAACCTAACTAGGTTAATTTAGGGCAACCCTCAATGTTGAATTAAGCAAATTGGCTACTCGCGATTAAGTCGTTCGACCTTTGAGTTTAGTGAGGGAGTAAGTAAACTATCGATTGCCTAAACCGAGAGGGTCGAGTGACACGGCCTCTAATGTTTACCTCGGTTTAGCAATTGAGATTGTGGTCTCCAACCATATATGCATCGCTCTGCAGTTCGCGGTTACCTTGCCCAAAGCATATTGTTCCCATTCACATATCATGGTAGTAGTTAGGGGGAAGTGACACCCGAGTGATCCTTCCACAAAAGAGTTTTCAAAACCCTTTACCTTTGCCCTATTTTCTTATAATTAGCAAACTTTTAAACCAAAAATTTGTTGCTGGATAATTATTAAAATGACTGAAGTAGGGATAGACGAACCGGGCCGGGTTGATATCTAAATACTTGCTCTATACTGCACTCGGCTAGAGTTTAAAAACTTGGACTCTAGTCGGGATTATATTGTGGTGTAGTTTCGTGCGAGTTAAGTTTTTGGCGCCGTTGCCGGGGGAGTTGTGGTCTGTTATCTTGAAAAAGTTGTTGGTTGTTAATCTAGCTTTTAATTTCCAGTTTTGCGAGCGTGTGTGTTTTGCTTGTGCTAGACTTGGTGTGTTTTCCGATTGTGTGTAGGTGGTGCATGACCCGGAGTAACCTAGCACCTTTGCTACCACTTGACGAGGACATAAACCGAACTCTCCGGCTCCTAGCACGAGAGAGAGAGAGAGAGAGAGAGAGAGAGAGAGAGAGAGAGAGAGAGAGAGAGCTAGCGGAGGCAACGAGAAGAAGTGAAAGAGGGGGGGGGGACAACATTTGGGTCCTGGTGTTAGTGGAGAAGTAGTTGAAGAATTGGAAGTTGAACCCCTCGTTGAAGTAGTAATGGCGGAGAACCAAAGGCAAGATGGCGCTCAAGCCCGCCATTTGAACGATGCGGCGGAGGACGAGGATGCCCCGAGGACGATGGGGTACTATGTGGCCCCAAGACCGGCGGACATTCAATCGCCAATCCTACATCCTCCAGTGCGGCAAACAATTTCGAGATCAAGTAAGCTCTAGTGACTATGATACAAAGTAATGCTCTATTCCACGGCCTTGAGAGCGAGTCACCCAGAGAGCACGTGCAGAGATTTTTGGAGCTCGCGGGGAGCTTGAAAATCAATGGTGTGCCGACCGAAGCTTTGCAACTAAGGCTTTTCCCATACTCACTCTCAGGGAAAGCACTTAGGTGGCTAAAAAATCGCCCACCTCGGTCAATCACCTTATGGGACGGCCTGCTCAACAAGTTTATGGCTCGTTATTGCCCTCCTTCGAAGACAGCGGAGTGGAGAAAAAAGATTACCCATTTCGAGCAAGAAGAGGACGAGACCTTGACGGATTCTTGGGAGAGGTACACTGATTACTTTCTTCAGTGCCCTCACCACGGGTTTGATGAACAGCTTCGGATCGAAACCTTCTATAGAGGCCTAATGCAAGAAGATAAAAGGGAAATTGATGAATATGGCTCCACCCTAAATAACTGAGATACTTGAAGACATGGCCCTTAGGGGATACGATTGGGGGTTGACTAGAAGTGGAAGAAGAAGCAATGATAGGAGAGTGAGAAGCATGGGAGTGAGTGCTCTGCTTGAGGCGAAGTTGGATAAGTTGCTTGAGGTTATGCTTGAAGATAAGAGGCAAGGAAAAAAGGCGGTGATGTCGTGTGATTGGTGCTCGAGCACCAATCATGAGATGGAGGAGTGTCAAGCAATGAAGGAGGCAACCACTCCGGATGAGAAAGTCAACTTCGTGGCAAATGCTAGGGTCAACAACCTGTATACCAATTTCGTGACTCGAGAGGTATTGTGGAGGACATGATGGTGAGAGTGGGCAAGTTTTGCTATCCGACCGATTTCGTGATTCTCGACATAAGTGAGGACTCGGATATGCCACTCATCGTCAGTCGTCCCTTTCTTGCCACCGCCAAGGCATTGATAGACGTTAATGAGGGAACCTTCATTTTGAGGGATGGTAAGGAGAGAATCAAGCTTGAAATTGAACCTAAGGTTAGGAGTGATGAAGTGAAGGGAGAATTTCAAATGATGTGAATGAGAGTGGAGGAGAGCCTCTCAAGGCAAACCCCACCATTACTTGTATTGCTTTTGGTGATGTTGAGTAGGAAGTTGAGAAGGGTCCTATACCCAAAGGATGAATGCTTGGAGACAAAGGATGAAGGGAGATTTGGCCCAGAAGATGGGGGAGACTGAAGCTATGTTGGCCAACCAAGAGGGCCAACTCAAGGAGCCAAAGATGGAAGGCGACAAGCCTCGCCCCGAGAGTGTGGTGGATCCGCTCTTGGCGGCATCATGTTCAAAGTCGTGATCGATCCCCAACCGTCAAGCTAATGACGATAAATTAGCACTTGTTAGGAGGCAACCCAACGGAGGTTTGTTTTCTTTTCCTTATTTTCCGTTTTTGTGTCTTGTGAAGAGTTCGAGTGGTGAAGTGGTGTCCTCGTGTCGAGTGTTGTGGTTTTGCGGTTAATGGTTGTGTTGTGATTGATTAGGAGGCACAGAGGAATAGGTTGAGTCAAAATTTTATCAGAAGTGCCTTGTTTTCACTTATGTCCACGGACGGATTGCTGAGTTCACGGTCTTATAAGAGCGTGAACATGCACACGCGTCCGTGAACTGGGCACTTATGCATGATCACCACCTGTCGACCACTCCGTGTTCATGGACGCGTTTGAGAGTTCACGGTCGCTAAGACCGTGAACTGGGCAACGCGTCCGTGAACTCCGATTCGTGTCTATAAAAGGGGCCTGAACGGTGACTCTGCACTTCACGATCAAATCTCGCCGAAAAATTTCAAATCTTCGCCGGAGAACGCGAAACTCCGTCAGTTTTTCAATTTTTTCCACATTTCCGGCGGGCAAAACCCAAAACCAACGTCATACCCAGTCTCCCCTCCTCAAAACCGGCCTGTGCTGAGATTTTGGGGAAATTTGGACCACATTTTTTCCGGCCAAGTCATCGACGGCGAGTCTCCGACGAGCTTCTGACGAAGCTCCGGCTACCCCTCTCCGGTAAGTTTTCCGACCGTTCTTCACCGTCCTCGCCCGCACCTCACTTCCTCCTACGCCCTACTTGTGTCTCCAGGTTTGTTTTTCGACTTTACCTTTGTGATTGTGGAGAATTGGATTAGGTAGTGAAGTGAGGTTGAATTTTTGTGCTTTGCATGATTGAATCTAGATTTAGGGCGAGGAATTAGGTGAATTAGGTCGATTGAATGATGGATTGATTTTTGCATGAGCTTAGTGAGCCTTGGTGGGCGTGTTTGAACCGAATTATGTTTATTTTTTAGAATTTGCCCACCAAGTGCTATGTCATGAATGCAAGTGGAGTTTATTCTTGTTTGGTGGATGGTAGCCACTGTGGTAAGGGTTGTAGTTCAATTTTTTGTGTGCTTGAACCGTGAATTACCCACAACCATGCCACGACGGTTTGAGCTTAAATATTTCATAACTGTAGACACAACTTTTTGTCCGGGTTAAAAACATATTTAATTGAATAAAATTAGTTTTCAAGGTTGACAATAGCAAACCTTAGACGACTATCCAAATAAAGCGTATTTTGTATTGTTTGGTTGGGATGATTCACATTTGGCTTAGCCCATTGAGATTAGCAATAGCAAATCTTGGTTGAGACAACCTAATATTAAACAGTTGCTTAGTTTGGTTACCTTTAGGTTGACGTTTCAATTGTGTACTTAGACTATTTGGCTTTTGATTGGATTGAACTCTGATTTCAAGATAATAAGAGAAAAGTTGAATTACAAAAAAAAAGCAACAATTATACTAGAACAATTACAATTAAATTTGATTAGAGCTATAATCTATAATTACAAAGCCATAATAATTGCATAATCAGATTACATCATATTTAACTACAAGGTTCAACAAAAATTGGGCTCAAGTCAAACCCAAAACCGAGAGTCAAAGCCCATGTCTACAGTCAACAAAAGTCAACTCTGGTTAAGAAAGTTAACAAAATCCAAGCCCAGTCAACACAACCCAGCCCAAGCCATCTTGGGTCAACCTGACCGGTCCAGCCTACGGCTCAAATCCGGTCCGCCCAATACCCGGTACTGTAGCATGCTTGCCTTGCAAGCAGCATTGGCTATAAAACAAGCACTCTTTTGGCTCTGGTAGAAGAGGCCTTCGGACTGCTCCTCCCCCAAGACAGGGGCTTCTCTTCACCTCTTCTTCTTATTCACTCCCTAAACATACAGAAAGAAAGAGACAGATTAGAAGAAAAGACATCTTTTCTCCTCATCGTTCCCACAGACAGCTTCTTCTTCATCTGCTTTTCTGATCGACAAACAGAAAAAGAGCCAAAACTCTGGAAATTCCCACTATCCTTCTTCCTCTTTAGCCACAACAATCCTAAACAAAGAAAGATAAAACAACAAAAGTTCCCTTTACACTTTCTCCTTCTCGCTCAAAACCCACACACATACAGAAAAGAGAAGCCAAAATTGAGAAACCTTATCTCTCACTTCCTTTTCTTCTTCTTAGCCGATGCACACCAACACACTTCATTCCCTTTCCTAAACAGAACCAAAAACCAGAGAGAGACAGAAAAGAGAAGCCAGAGCAAAGGACTGGAAGGGCAGAAAAAAGGCAAGCATTCACAAAACAGAAGAGGGGGACTCTTTCTGGCTGCTTCCCTTCTTCTTAACCATTTTTGGCACTCTTCCCTGCTGCCTCCCTTCTTTTATTTCCTCTGTTCTTGGAAAAGATACAAACACTCTAGCCAGAGAAGCCACAAACAAAAAAACAAGAAATAAAGAACTACTTCCACTTCTTTCCTTCTTCTTAGTCGACACACGGCAGCAAGGAAAAAAGAGAGAAAAAGAAGCATACGAGGAGGTAGCAAACTCCCCCAGAAGCTGGGCAAAAGGAGGCAGAGTCATCTCCAAGCTACAAACAACCAAAGGTTGGTAACACCGAACTCAATCATACAACTATCGTCATCATCTTCTTCATCCATGGCAATCACTTCTTTCTAGTTATATAAAGCTTCCAAAACTAAAACCCAATCATCCCAAGCAAACTATAAGTGGACTAATTTCGTTTAAAAGATGAATAATACTAAGCCAATCTTAAACAAGTTGCAACTTGATCTGAAAAGTTAAAAGGAACCAAACACAAGCAACTCCAACCAAAGTATAAAGTGGCTATTTCCCGATAATCCTTATCATTATCTGCTTTTGTTTACGTTATTCGTCATCTATATTGGTCATATTTTAGCTTACTTTCTCTGTTTAGTTTGTTTAAGAGGGTTTCCCTCTTATTGTTATATGAAGCTATCATCTATAATCCATATCTGGATCAACCAAAATACTTGGTAATCACAAGCAACAACTGTGTTTGCAGTGTATTAATGAACTTATTTCCCCACTTTGTTAGTTTTAACCAATCATGGAATTTTAATCACAATATTTATCTTTTTGGGTCAAAAATCTATCAACCAAAACAAATAACCAAATTCAAGCTTTCAGGTTCCAGTTTTCAGGTTTCAAAGTACCAAAACCCAACCAACAACCAAACTTAGCGATAAAACTGAGTTTCTAAACCAAGCCCCTCCCCAATCTGGCTTTACTAAAAACAAAATTTCCTCGCAACCTTTTCCATCTCGAGTCCAGTAATCGTACATCAAAACCAAACCTCAAATTACCAAAAAACTTACCAAGCAGGATTTCCCAGCTGTAGTTTTCTGAGTTTCCCACGTTGCCGGCGAAGCCAGAGTGCCGGCGACTCTTTACTTCTACTTACCCCGTCGCCGCCACAGGTAAACAACCCAAAATCCAAATAAAAACACAAACACAAACACAAACATGCATTAGAATTCAAATACTCGATCAAACCTACAAAATACAAAAACTCGGCATGCAATGGGAGGATTTTGATCTCTAACCTTCGCCGCCGTGATTCCCGCCATTGTCGGAGTCGTTCGTCGTCTTTCCTTTCGTCGTTGCCGTCGTCGCTCTCCTTCGCTCTTTCCCCTTGCCGCTTCTAGAGATAAGGAGAGAGAATTGAGTAAGTTTTAAATAGAAAGAAGAAGATAGACTCTGGGGAGAAATGCAGGTGTATCGAGATGGAGAAAGAAAGCAGATCGAGAGGAGGATATCAGTGCTCTGTTTCGTCATCGAGAAAAGAAGAACGAGGAGAGGGGAAACAGATGAAAATGGATAGGCAGCTGGGGTTTTTCAGCCCTCGAGATTGACCAAATTACCCTCACTTCCCATTAAAATTACCCTTCGAACCACAAGCGGATAATCCAACAGCCATTGAGAATTCCCACTTTGTGCCCTTTGAGTTGTCCCCAAAGTATTTGTGTAGGTTAAAATATTACCTTGTGTGAAATGGTTTGTTTGAGTACAAGCAAACATCTAAATGTGGGTGAGTGATTCGAGCCTAATTGTACATGTTTTGCCCCCGTTTTACTAAAGTGTTTGTGAAAAATTCACTCCTAAAAGGTAGATTTTACGCTAGGTTTCTCGTGTTTTAGTGTGTTTCACGGTTTAACAGGTGAAACCAGCCTCGAAGTCGAAAGTTGGACGAAAAGGATCGAAAATCGGGAGAAGAGGTGAAAAACGGCCAGTTCACGGCGATCCCAGGAAGTTCACGGTCTTACACGACCGTGAAGAAGAGCCCTTGACCGTGAACCTCGCAGCGTCTAGAACCAAAACAAGGGTTACTGACGCAATGTAAGTTCACGGTCAGTAAGACCATGAATGGAGGCTGTTGACCGTGAACAAAAGTGAACGAAGCGGTGCGTTTTGGCGCACGCCTGCAGTTCACAGACACGTTTCATAGTTCACGCTCGTGAACTTAGGCCGTGAACTGAGCTCGTCTCTGGTTTAAAAGATGAGATGAAAGGAGGAGAGAGGGGTGTGCCCACTTTGTGTGAAAAGCCTTCTTCAGATTTCTAGAGAGAGAAACACGAACCAAAGGAGAAGAATGCTAGGGCTTTGCTTCAAGGTGGATTTTTGGAAGATTTCCACGTAGGAAAGTTCAACACAAGTGCCAAGAAGATTGGGAGCATCCTCCAAGATGGTTTCCACCTCTTATCCTTGTGTGTTTTCTCATTTCTAGCATGGAGTAGATCTCCTTTAACTTGGGTGTTGTGAAACCCTAACTCTACCGTGTAGTTTATTTTATGTGAATTGAAAGATTGTCATTGGTTATTGATTAATTCAATGATTGAGGTATTATTCATATTGATTGTGCATGCTTGTGCATAGCAACCTAGGGGTTGTGCATGTTTTATGCTTAGCATCCTTAGGTTTGTGCATTTTGGTGCTTAGCAACCTAAGGATTTTGCGTAATTGTGCTTAGCACCCTTAGATTTGTGCATGTTGGTGCTAGCAATCTAATTAGCCACCTTAACCTAGCTTAGAGAGGAAAATCCCCCTTCCTATGGAGACTCAATCGAGTTGGTTTTCCTTCAGCTTTTTAAGCCACCTAACTAGGTTAATTTAGGGTTACCCTTAATGTTGAATTAAGCAAATTGGTTAATCATGATTAAGCCGTCTGACATTTGAGTTGAGTGAGGGAGTCAGTCAACTACTGATTGCCTAAACCGAGAGGGTCGAGTGACACAGCCTCTAATGTTTACCTCGGTTTAGCAATTGAGATTGTGGTCTCCGACCATATATGCATCCCTCTGCAGTTCGCGGTTACGTTGCCCAAAGCATATTGTTCCAATTCACATATCATGGTAGTAGTTTGGGGGAAGTGATACCCGAGTGATCCTTCCACAAAAGAGTTTTCAAAACCATTTACCTTTGCCCTATTTTGTTCTAATTAGCAAACTTTTAAACCAAAAATTTGTTGCTAGATAATGATTAAAACGACAGAGTAGAGGTAGACGGACCGGCCTGGGTTGATATCTAAATACTTGCTCTATACTAAACCCGGCTAGAGTTTAAAAACTTGGACTCTAGTCGGGATTATATTGTGGTGTTGTTTCGTGTGAGTCAAAAATCCCACATCGACAAAACATGGGAGAGATACATGGTTTATAAGTAAGGAACCGACCTTAACTGAGAAGACGTGTTTTGGGGTGAAATGGAAGAGTTCTTGTGAGAAATCTAAAGTTAAACGTGCTCAGTGTGGAGTACAACAAGGATGGGTGGCCTTATGGGAAATCACCTTGAATTGCACCCCAAGTCGAAAACTGTGATTGTCGAGGCCCAAAGTGGACAATATCTTCGTCGGGAAAAGGTTGGGGATGTTACAAGTGGTATCAGAGCCTCTCCGCGTCCCTCTTGAACGATGGTGGGGCGAACCTCAACGAGTGCGTTGAGTCACAAGGGGCGGGGGTGTATGTAACACCTTAGGCAAATCCCACATCGACAAAGCACGAGAGAGATCCATGGTTCATAAGTAAGAAACCAACCTCAACTGACATGACGCGTTTTGGGATGAAATGGAGGAGTTCTTGTGAGAACTCCGAAGTTAAATGTGTTTAGTGTGGAGTACAACTAGGATGGGTGACCTTATGTGAAACCAACTTGAATTCCACCCCAAGTTGAAATCCGTGAGGGTCGAAGGCCCAAAGCGGACAATATCTTCGTCAGGAAAAGGTTCGGGATGTTACAGTAATTTTCTTTGACCACTACCATTTTTTTCTTTCAAAAAATGGGCACACATCCGTATCCTAATTCAGAGATTCCTTCATTGGACTAAATAAGAAAGTTTATGAAGAAACGAACAAGGAATTGATCTACATATGGAAGTGTTAGGTTCGAGTTCTTTAAATAAACAACTAACAATAAAAAATAAAACGATGTCACCCTTATCAAAAAGTTTGTAGTTGAAGAAGCTAAGTCTATGTTAGATAAATGAGTGACAAGAACAAATTAGATTATAGTGGGCTTGACTACATAAAGCTCACTGCTAACAGAACAACATAATAGCATGGCCCAATCACTATACTATGGAGGATTTGATATCGGCCCAAACCAACATATGCATTGGAAAGGCCCTCATACGCTGGAAGGGAAATCAGTGTGAGGAGATGGGAAAGGGATATTTAAACCTTTTAATCTCTCACACCCCCCCTCAAATGAAAGTCTACCCTTTCATTTCTTGTACTAAACCATTGTTTTTAAATTGAGGGTCGTTATGATGATTCGAAACCATGACATTTCGATTCTAGACTCTGATATTATGCTAGCGAACTAACCACTTGGTTCCGATAAATTGAGTTGTTGGGAAAGAGATAGTTAAACCTTTTAATCTCTTACAGGAGAAACTAGAGAGACCAGAGATGGGAGGAAGATGAATTCATGGATGAGGGAAGAAGCTAAAGCTTCGATTATATTGGAGAACAAGCGGCGTGTGAATGCTGCAACTGACTCAAAGCTTGTTGAAGTAGGAAAATTGCACTCGTTTTCTATTTCATGATCAGTGTTCAGTCCAAAGAGATTAGTGATGTCAAAGTTGATTGTGGAGCATTCTATTGCAACTGACTAGTAACCTCTTTATTATGAATTGCTACCAACATGGTGTTTTGAAGGACTAAAGGTTGAAATTTTTTAGTTTACTTTTCCTTTTTGGCTCCAAGTGTAAAATTTGCGTGAGTGATGCATTGCAGATTTGCATCTGCAGAACTGAGCAAGAGCTGGAATACCGCTGGAAGAGGCACTCAGATTTCAGTCTAAGAACAACAACACTAGCTTTTACCCACTATAACTCTCCCTCTACAATTAGGTAATTATTGTGGTTGCAATTGATTCGTTTTCTTCTTCATCATTTTCAATATTAATAACCTTTTCCATATGGTAGCAACAAACTTGGACTACTGGTCTTTTCAATGAGTTAGATGATAAAGTTTGTGGCTCTTTATGTTCAAAATGCAGCTGACGTGGAAAAATCATCAGTCTCTTCAAAACATGATCAAGAAATGCTTCAATCCTTTGTCCTAAGTTGACACCCACTTGTTTTGTATCAATGAAATAACTCAGCGTTGATTCAACACATGCGATCACCCTTCATTTTCTGTCTGTTGCGGTCGGATGGTGCACCCAGAGGCCAGCGAGTTTGTGGCTCTCGTCTGCAAACCAGTTATTCAATGTGTTAATGAATAAGCAGATGATGAATTGATCTTTTTATGGGTAAACAGTAATGAATCTCGTCTCACAAAAAGTACGGTCAAAATGACGTGCTAGACTGTTCGTATAATTCTCGGGGTAGCTGCACTTATGTTCATCTTGGTTATCGTCTGCTCAGCTATATGATATGTTAACTAGCGCGAAAAAAAAAGGTTTAGCATGAAACTTTAGTACAAATTCTGTTATCCATTGTACAGTATAGATAACTTATGTGTCAACTTGGGAATACTTATGCAATAAATAGTTTTGAGATAGATACAAACAAAAGATAAAAAAATTTCTTTTCATACCTCAAGATAATTTCCACGATGTAAAGTTAACAAATCCAATGATCCGATGACATCTTTCCACTTTCTGAACTAGTTCTTTGAGTTCATCATGGAAATTGCAGATGTATTGTGCAGGCTATCAAAGGACAAGAGTTTGAATGATGACTCGCTATGACACAACACCAATCTTCGATCAAGTGTAATCTTAGGATGGAAATGTAGAATAGTGGTTCAGTTTAATTTATCAACCCAAGGTCTAGATCTACTATCTACTCCATAAACTTCTATTATCTAGCAAACTAAGTGTAGTGAGTGGTTCAATTGAAAAATAAACAAATTGAAAAAAATGTTATGGTTTTCCAAGTATGTTAAAGGTCATCCAACTATGTTTGCCCCTAGTATACAACTAGTTCAGATAATATATTCCCAATTTGTTCAGATTGAAAGATACACTCCGGAAAGTTCTTGACAAGTTTGGAATCTCGACTAAAGATGACCAAACCCTCTTGGTTCGAATACCTGGCGGGCGACTAACCTCCAGCGGCATATACTACCAAGGCACTAATACACTAAACTTCCTCTACTGTCATTAATTATAGTACAGAGCAGTGAATCGACTTCTCTACTAAAGCAGACGATTCACCACTTCCAATTTAAGGTTGCTCTTTTAACATATGCAGATACTATCATTCTAGGTTAAAGCAAGAGTCACACAGGTTGGATGTAGACTCTTGCAATTCTTATTAATGCCTCAATTGAATATATCAAATCAATCATTCGCAAACGGGGTTTGTACAACCATTTCTAGCATACAAAACTAGGTTCCTCATACCCAGATGAAAGTGGATTTTGCTCCATGGAAAGAAGTGGAAACATCATGCTAGGAGGAGAAATCATCATGTGGACAATGAAAATCTGCTCCTGACGGCTAATTGGTACCCCGAGGATGAGGAATCGAGCTCTGAGGTCTTCAAATCGCTCCAATCCTTGCCCAAGGGTTTTACTTCGTCACTCTCTCTAGGGTTCTCTTTATGCCTTTAGAACTTCAAAATTCCGGCCCCTTTGCCCATTTCCCAAGCTTCCCTTTTATAAGCTGGAGATTCGCGAGTTATGGCCATAGATCCTCTTGGCCCGTAACTTTACTCAAAACATTGTCGTCGCTGTGCTCCATAAACCAAGAGTTGCGGTTGAAACCTTAACTTGAGAGGGGAGACCATAACTCCAAGAATGCTCCTGGAACCTTGTGTCGTCGCTTCCCAAAAGATACGGGAGCTAAGGGCGAGTTACGGTCCAGACCGTAACTTCTCAAATTTGGCCATAACTCCAAAGAAGCTCCTGGAACCTTGGCCTTTTCCTCTGAGAAGTTATGGGATCTTGGGGAAAGTTACGGTCTGGATCGTTACTTCCAAGTCTGGGTCGTAACTTCTCCCGACTCTCTGTCGTTCGCTCCAAAACATCTCAAAACTCGCTCATTCACACCCATTCACGTGCTAGGACCCGAAACATTATCAACCAACACAATCTAGTGTAAAATAGGCCATGAGAGCGAGAAAGTGAGCTCAAACGATCAAGAAATGAAGGGAATAACATTTTCAAATATGGCATTATCAAATTTATCCACACTTAACCGTTTGCTTGTCCCCAAGAAAACCTGACTCAAACCAATGCAACTCTCAAGACCTTTGTAGAAACATGCAACCACGATCGTCGGTAGAGGACTTCCTAGATCATTTATCAGTTTTCGAGGTCAACCGGTTTTTTAAGACATGCTCTATTTCTCTCAATGCAAGTACTAGACTCAAACTAGGATCATGCCAAGTAGTGGTCCTAGGAAAGAAAATTCATGAATGAAGAGACTCCCCCACACAACTACCAAGGACTCTTCGTATCAGGTGCTCTTCCATTTCATTTCAATCTTTGGAACCCCTTTACCTTATTTTTTTTTTCTTTTCTCTTTGTTTTGTTTTCACATTCTCACTTTGTTTGGGTTCCAAACTGCAGTTTTATGTGCAGTTGACCCTTATTGATTGAGCAAGAGCAATTTCTGTACATTCGTCGCTCGCGAGAATACTTCTTTTAACTCCTCTTCCTCAACTCGTCTGGAGAGTTAATGAAATTAAGGGGGGGGGGGGTCAGAAGCTTTATACGTCCCCTTAAAAACACATCATCGAGTAGGCAAACCGTTGACGGTTGGAATTTTTACTTGTACTAGAGACGGCTTAGCTTCACCTTGTAGGCCTACCCCACCAAGGATCACTAAAATCTCTTCCAAAACCTTATTTGTGCAATGAACGGTGCCACACACGTTGGGCTTATCCCATGTTTCAACTTTAGAATTTCCAACATGGAGGACCATATGCTTTTCATTACGCACATTGAGCACCCTTTTACGATACATGAGTCCACAACACGACAAAAAGGGAGAAAGATATGACAAATCTTATACTTCGACATCCTCCATAGTGCTACAACTACCTCCCTAGGTTTCACATGGCCACAAAGACTGTCAATTCAAAGCATACTAAGCAGGTTATTGCAAGGAACAGTACTTTGAGCCCTCAAATCAAAAATTGGACAGTGGACTAGGCTGCAAGCACACAAACACATCTATACAGTCAAAGATAAACACCCCCCCCCCCCCGACACACTTAAGTTCGCCATTGCCCTCAAAGAAGAAGAGGAGAGGATAAGGGGAACGATGTTACCGGAAAATGAACTGCAGTGGGATAGAAATGGGACTTGCTATCAGGAGTAGACTGGAAGGTGGACCAGTTTCTGAGAAGCACGGTAAGACAAAACACAACTACTCACAATGGGTAAGAGTTAGGATAATAGTTGTCAGCCTCATGGCGCAACTGATGAAGAACTGACACCAGGGTCAAAGTGAGCCCCCAGTGGCTCGTGGTGAACAGGAGAAGGCGGAGGAGGATTGGCAATAGCAGGATTGGCCTCCATGTCCTCGACAAACTCAGCAGGGCGGAGGACCTTGAGCCAACGTATCCCGAGGTTGGTCCTGGCGATGCGAATCAGCCCCATAGAACACAGGGTATCATCGGGGAAGGCTCTAGTGCGCCCAACCTAGGTGCAACCGAGAAGACGAACTCCAAAGTATTGGGCAAGGCGGGTGATGTACAGCTCACCGTGAAGTGTGGAGACCTTCGAGTGGTGAGCAACTCAAGAAAAAGAGATAGTCAGGGTGGAGCCAAGGTGGGGCTAGTGCAACGGATATGACATGGTGATCTGGGCGTACATGTGCCTCTTTGTCACCTGGCTGGACGCCTCCATGCTAGGAATGATAGAGTGAGTGCGCAACGTCTGGAGGAACCTCTAGGGAGTCTAAAGCTGAGTGGATCATGTTAGGCTGTGGGCATAAAGAACCTCAGCAAATTGGCGCAGACAGACCTGCTCATAGAAAGCCTGAAAGTCCTCCTGGCCACTGAGGGCTCCACCAAGTGCATCCTGTTGGTGGTCATACCAAGTGCATGGCCGAACTCCTCGTACGATAGAGAGTGGTGTTGCCCACCAACTCGGAAGGAGACGGGTGCGACATCAGTGTTGTGGCACCTCCGCTCATGAAGGAAGGTGCTATAGAACTCTCACCGTGAGCTCATTGTAAACATCATCATAGAGCTCCAGAAAGCGCGACAGAGAAACTCCTCAAAGTAGGCCAAATTGAGGCAGTAGTGGGCCCCAATCTATGCCCCTTGCATCTTGGTGAAGGACTCGTCGTAGACCTTGGTGTAGCGGAGCCCCTGTAGAAATAGGTGGTCCAAGTTGACCATTGTCCTGCAAAAGCAAGCAAACACACCTAGGAACTAGTTTGTAAAAAACGAATTGGGGGAAAATAAACCCCTAGGACAGGGATACTACATGAAAAAAACAAAAGCAAATCAGAAGCCTGATCATTCTCCTGTTTAATCAGCTAAGCAGGAAAAATCAGTTCAAGCCCCCTACACTCTACAATCCAATTCTCCCTAATCACAAAATCAGAAAAATAACTAACCTAGAGATGCAAGTAGGAGAGTAAATCGGGGGAGACGAGGGAGAATGATGCACAAAGGTAGACCCGGAAAGCCTCACTAGAGGCAATTTTCAGCGAGGGAGAACGGTGGCCGATGGAGAGAAAACAAGCGGCGGTTAGCGCGGCTCGACAAAACGGTCGTAGCGTCATGGACCGCTCGCATATCAAAGGTAGAGAGCAGCAGTGGCGAGCAAAAAAATGCGCATAGGATGGTGACAAAATTCGGCAAGGGAGATTGGGTACAAAATGCGAGCTACATCCTATAACTTGGCCTTTTTATAGAAAAGCTAGAGTTACGGCTTAATCGCGAAATTTACGAGCGTAACTCGCCATATAACTCGCTGACTTGGCCGAGTCAGTGAGTTACAGGATGATCGGAATAGTTACGATCGTAACGGACGCCGTAACTTTTCTTTTTTCCAGGAGAAGGGCCAACTTACAAGCGACTGGTCAAAGTTACAGCGGTGCCCGTAACTTTTCTCACAACCCGTAACTTTTGGAAAAAGTCCCAACCGTCCAGTGCCTTTTGAAAAGTTACTAGCCATGTGGAGGAGTTACGGTCGAGACCGTAAGTTCTCTCCAATGACCGTAGCTTTGGACTGGATCTGCCTTCTCTCCCAAAAATGTCAGAAAGCACCGCTAACTACCACAAAACATTCCCTAGACCTCCAAACCTGAAAATTCACAAGAATGGACATGCCAAATGACCACAAAGCAACATGTTCGACACACGAAACAAAAAAAAAAAGTAAAAAACAAAAAGAGAAAGGAATGAAATGCAAACCGATGTGGGGTTGCCTGCCCACAAGCGCTTCTTTACCATCTTTTAGCTGGACGCAGATAGCGGAACTAAGGGTCCGCGAGATTGGCCAACAACTCTGCTCGTTCGACATCGCCTCCCAAGTACAACTTGAGGTGATGCCCGTTCACTTTGAAGGGCTCAATCTACAGAGTGGCGATCTTGATGGTGCCATAGGGAAACACTTGGATGACCGTGAATGGTCCAGACCACAGGGAGCGCAACTTACCCAGAAAGAGTCGCAGGCAGGAATTGTATAGAAGAACTCGATCGCCCACTTGGAACTCTTACGGGCCTTTGTGCCGAGCATCGTGGAGACGCTTGGTTCATTTCTTATATAGTCTGGTTTTCTCATAGGCGTGATAACACTACTCTTCCAACTCCACCAGCTGCATTTTTCGCTCGGTACCTGCAAGACTCAAATAAAGGTTTAGCAGCTTAAGGGCCTAGAAGGCCTTGTGCTCTAGCTCAATAGGCAAGTGACAGTTCTTTCCAAAGACGAGTCGATAGGGAGAGGTACCAATCGGAGTCTTGTAGGTCGTCATATACGCCCACAGAGCATCATTGAGCTTGGCGGATCAATCCTTACGGGATTGATCCACCGTATTTTCAATGATCCTTTTTAGCTCCAAGTTTGTCAGCTCGGCTTGACCGTTTGTTTGGAGATGGTACGCCACCGACATCTTGTGATTGACATCATAGAGAGACAAGAGCTTAGTGAATTGCCCTTGAAAATGGGTCCCTCTATTGCTAATGATGGCTCGAGGTATCCCGAATCGGGAGAAAAGCTGCTTAAGAAATAAGCGGACTCATCTTGCGTCATTGGTGGGCATGGCTTGAGCTTCTGCCCACCTCGAACCGCAGTCCACATCAATCAAGATATAAAGATTATCAAATGAAGGAGGAAAGGTGCCCATGAAGTCGATGCCCCTTACATCGAAAATCCCACAAGTCATAAATGACTTCTAGGACATCTCATCACGGGTAGAGATGTTACCTGACCGCTGACAACGATTGCACTGGCATGCGAAGGTATCAACATCCTTGAAGAGCGTGGGCCAATAGAAGGCCGACTATAGCACCTTCCGCACTATGTGGTTTCCTCCAGCGGTCAGGTATTCTTCATGATAGTGAGACAAGATGGCTCCCATCTAGTGTTCCATCACGCATTGTCGAATCACGCCATCCGCTCCGATCCTGAAGAGGTACGGATCCTCCCAGAAATATTACTTCATGTCGGAGAAGAATTTACACTTAGCATTAGTAGCCATCCCCTTAGGCAATTGCTTTCCCACCAAATAATTGGCAAGATCTCTTCCACGAAGTTGTCCACCGGAGAGGCTTCCAACCTTGAAAGATGATCTGGAGCAACATTCTCTGCTCCTTTCTTGTCCCAGATCTCAATATCGAACTACTACAGAAGCAGGATCCAGCGGATGAGCCGAGGGTTAGTGTCGTCCTTGGTCATCAATTAGATGATGGTCGAGTGGTCGGTATAGACCACGACATGAGAGAGCACCAAATACGGCCAGAACTTGTCAAAGGCATACACCACTGCAAGCAGCTCCTTCTCTGTGGTGGTGTAGTTCTCCTTAGCATCGTTCCAAGTCTACGACGCGTAGTAGATATGCTGGAAATGCTTATAGCATCTCTGACCAAGAACAACTCCAACCGCATAATCACTCGCATGGCACATTAACTCAAATGGGAGAGACCAATACGGAGTCACCATGATGGGTGCATGGGTAATCTTCTCCTTCAAATTCCCGAATGCAATTGTGCACTTTGGAGTGAAGTGAAATGGTGCATCTTTCTCGAGTAGCCTGGTCAATGGCAAGGCTATCTTTGAGAAGTCTTTAATGAAGCGCCAGTAGAAGCCTGCATGACCTAGAAAACTTCAAATCACCTTCACACAAATAGGAGGAGGTAGCTTGCAGATCGTCTCTATCTTTGCGCGATCTACCTCAATCCCCTGCTTGGAGATCTTGTGCCCGAGCACAATGCCTTCGTGAACCATAAAGTGGCACTTCTCCCAACTAAGCCCCAAGTTCGTCTCCTCGCACCTCTTTAGGACAAGCTCTATTTTATGGAGATAGTGTGAGAAGGAGTCTTCATAAACCGAGAAGTCATCCATGAAGACTTCCATAATCTCTCCAACCAGTCAGTTGAAGATAGCCATCATGGAATGAAGGGTGCCACACACGTTGGGCTTACCCCATGTTTCAACTTTAGAATTTCCAACATGGAGGACCATGTGCTTTTTATTACACACATTGAGCACCCTTTTATGATACATGAGGCCACAACACGACAAAAAGGGAGTCATCGACACTACATGAATCAAATGTCCTAAATCCACTAGTTCACACAATCAATCGGCACAACAAAGAGAAAGATACGTCAGATCTTATACTTCGATGTCCTCCATAGTGCTACAACTTTCTCCCTAGGTTTCACATGGCCACAAAGATTGTCAATTCAAAGCATACTAAGCAGGTTATTGCAAGGAACATTACTTGGAGGCCTCAAATCAAAATTTGGAGAGTGGACTAGGCTGCAAGCACACAAACACATCTGTACAGTCAAAGATAAACACCCCCCGACACACTTAAGTTCGACATTGCCCTCAATAAAGAAGAGGAAAGGATAAGGGGAACGATGCTACCAGAAAAATGAACTGCAGTGGGACTAGAAATGGGAACTGCTATCAGGAGTAGACTGGAAGGTGGACCAGTTTTTGAGAAGCACGGTAAGACAAAACACAACTACTCACAATGGGTAAGAGTTAGGATAATAGTTTCCCTAAAAAAAGAGTTAGGATAATAGTTGTCAGCCCCATGGCGCAACTGATGAAGAACCGACACCAGGGTCGAAGTGAGCCCCAGTGGCTCGTGGTGAACAGGAGAAGGCGGAGGAGGATTGGCAATAGCAGGATCGACCTCCATCTCCTCAAAAAACTCAGCAGGGCGGAGGACCTTGGGCCAACGTATCCCGAGGTTGGTCTTGGCGACGCGAAACAGCCCCCTAGAACGCATGGTCTCATCGGGGAAGGCTCTGGTGCGGCCAATCCAGGTGCAACCGACAAGACGGACTCCAAAGTATTAGGCGAGTCGGGTGATGTACATTCCACTGTGAAGTGTGGAGACCTTCGAGTGGCGGGCCACTCAAGAAAAAGAGACAGCCAGGGTGGAGCCAAGGTGAAGCTAGTGCAGCGGATCTGACATGGTGATCAGGGCGTACATGTGCCTCTTGGTCACCGGGCTGGACGCCTCCATGCTAGGAATGATAGAGTGAGTACGCCACGTCTGGAGGAACCTCTAGGGAGTCTAAAGCTGAGTGGATCATGTTCGGCTGTGGGCATAAAGCACCTCAGCAAATTGGCGGAGACAGACATGCTCATAGAAAGCCTAAAAGTCCTCCTGGGCCACTGTGGGCTCCACCAAGTGCATCCTTTTGGTGGTCATCCCAAGTGCATGGCCGAACTCCTCGTACGATAGAGAGTGGTGTTGCCCATCGACTCGGAAGGAGACTGCTACAACATCATTGTTGTGGCACCTCCGCTCATGAAGGAAGGTGATGTAAAACTCCACCGTGAGCTCATCGTAAACATAATCATGGAGCTCCAGAAAGCGCGGCAGATAAACTCCTCATAGTAGGCCAAATTGAGGCAGTGGTCCCCAATCTGTGCCCCTTGCATCTTGGTGAAGGACTCGTCGTAGGCCTTGGTGTAGCGGAACCCCTGCAGAAATGGGTGATCCAAGTTGACCATTGTCCTGTAAAAGCAAGCAAACACACCTAGAAACTCGTTAGTACAAAACGGATTGGGGGAAAATAAACCCCCAGGACGGGGATACTACATGAAAAAACAAAAGCAAATCAGAAGCCCGATCATTCTCCTGTCTAATCAGCTAAGCAGGAAAAATCAGTTCAAGCCCCCCTACACTCTACAATCCAATTCTCCCTAATCACAAAATCAGAAAAATAACCATTGATGACTCGATATTTGCACATGTTTTCCCCTTTGTTTCTTAACTGTTTGAGCTTTAATTATCGCGTCTTTGGCCTATTTTACGCTAGGTTGTGTTCCTTTGTCACATTTCAGGTCCTAGCACATAAAGTGAAGCATAGGCGCAAGTTTCAAGTCAATCAGAGATCAATTGGCGATTAGGGAGAAGAAACTCGGGCATGACCTGAAGAAGAATGGATTTCTACCTCACTTTATGGAGAAAAAATCATGTAAGCTTGTCATGAAAATAAAGATAACGAGACTACGAGCGTTTGGGATCAAACGGAGACTAATTCGGAGTCCGGACGATGGAGAAACGAAGCATAGAATATAGGGGAACAGGTTCGGCAGTAAAAACACGGGCTGGCCTAAAGAAAAACAGGCCGTGTCCATATTTAGGCACGACCGTGTTTTCGGGCAAAATTAAAACACGGCAGTGTCCTCGACTGTGTTTTGCCCAGAATCGGGTTTTTGAGGCAGATTGAAGCCAAAGGAAAGGGGGAGCTGGGTTTTGGATCCCAAACACCCAAGGGACGAACCAAAGAGAGAGAGAGGGCGATTTGAGGGCATTCTAAGAGTGGAATTGGAGGATTTCTTCTCCTTGGAAGCTCGAGGAACAAGCCTGGACTTGAAGACTAATCATATGAAGATTCTTACTGTAGTCTCTCTCTTCTCTATGGAGTAACTTCCCTTCACTTAGGTTTTGAGGAACCCTAGCTATGTTTGTTTGATTGGATGATTGTATGAGTACTCTTACTTGATAATCTTGAGTTCATATTCAATCTATGCACGTTTTCATGATTCAACTATGCTTTAGTCGAGATTATTGATTCTGCTTTGATCCTATGAGAGCGAATACCTGATTAGGTCAATAGAGCACCATAGATTGATAGTATTGGATGGATTGCTTTAGTCGAGGGTTGATTCACTGCTTTGTATCTATTGAGAACCTCTTTCGATAGAGGGATTCTAGCTCAGAACGCCTTGATCAGTTGTTCTAGAGAAGGATACGTCACTCTAGGCAATTGACTCAAGAGGGCCTTGTTCCTTTAGTCGAGACTCAAGGTTTAGTCAAGGATTCTCCGCATTGTGAATGAAAGTGAAACAGGTTAGAGATCATCAATCATTATTCTGGCTAGTGGCTAGGGGGAATTATACCTAAGTGAGTTCCCAACCTGTAATTAGATTAACTTTAACTGTAGTTTGCTAGAGTAGTTTTAGTTCTTTCATCTTAATCTGGTTTGCTAGATAATGAACTGAAGCTGAGTAATAGTAACTCTAGAGACCCGTGGATTCGATATTTATTACTTGAGCCACTGTACTGCAGTCCCTTTCATTGGTTACACTTGGCCATTGTTAGGAGTTGTGTCATAGCGAGTCAAGTTTTTGGCGCTGTTGCCGGGGACTTTCTAGATTATTAGGAAAGGCAGAAGTTTGTTACTTTAGCGTTTTTCTTTTCTTTTCCACACTTGCTTTTCACTTGGGTGTTTTTGTTTCTGTTGGTGCAGATTTGAATCATGGATCCTCATGGCTTCTCCAATCATTGGGGGTATCCACCACGATCCGAGTGATATTACCCCGAGACTCCCTGGAGCAATCAAGGAGGAGAAGACTATGGATTCGGGTTCCAGTACCAACCCCCTTACTACGGAGAACAATCAGACCCCTGGGCTTATCAAGAACAACCTCATTACCAAGAAGAATTTCTCCCACAACCAGAAGGCCCATCGGAGCTGGAGTTACCCATGGCGGCCTTCCTGGGCCATTCTGCAGAGCCATGCTACACTCCACAGCCAGATCCAAACTATGAATTGAGGCTTCTCATGGAGCAGTTTGCTCGAGACAGTGAGAGATCATTGTCTAGGATGGATCTTTGTACCCAGGCCTATCGTGAAACAGAGGAGATCCTCCTCAGCCTTAATAAGAGCGTCGATGATCTTGAGCGATCTTGTGCACAACCTGCTCTAGATCACCCTTCTGCTACCATACTAGAAGAGGAGGAGGAAGAACAAGGCTACAAGGACATTGTGGAGCACACTGAAGTTGTCACAGAGAGCTCCCGTGATGATCATGATCAGGAATATCCTGTCGTAGCCGACCACACCTTCCCACATCCCAAACTGAGCTTTGAAGAGGCAGGAATGAGCGAGGAGATGCAAGAAGATCTCATGAAAGAAATTGCTTGGCAACTTGCTCTCCAATCCGTGCTAGAAGAAGAGGAGAGAGAAAGGGTGCAGAAAGAAGTTGTGGAGGATGACAAAAGTGAAGCAGAAGAAGTTCTTGATCATTTCCTAGGGGTGATACCACATGAAGAAGGAAGGGAGGTTGAAGAAGCAATTGGCATCCAGGCTGAGGACGAAGTTGAGGTGGAAGAGGCCTGCACCGGCCATGAGTTACATGTGATATCTCCACCAAACTTCGAGGAACTACTTAGCAAGGACCCATTTGCAGTGTCTCTTTGCCAGACTAAGGCCACTTTGACATCGATCCCTCTTGGTGGACGCGATGGTGGTAAATCGATGTTGCCATATCTGGTTTGGGGCAATGAGACGAGAGAAGAGAAGAAGAGGTCTCGAGGGTGGAGACGTTATCTGCATCAAGTGCACGAGTTTCCATCACCTGTCATACCACATGTTCGTGACTTGAGACTCCACCTCATCGACGAGAACCTCAACTTCAAGGAGGTTTTGGGGTGGACCGAAACTTAGGAGCCATCGTCTGGCTCACGACGTGAAAGAAGCGCTTGTTGGGAGGCAACCCAACCAGTCGGTTTGCATTTCTTTCTCTTTTTCTCCTCGGTTGAGTCAGTTTTATTATTTGACTTTAGAGTCAATAACTCAACCTTTTTGAGATTTTTTGTGGTGTTTGTGTTCCGACTACTCTCTCCTCCTAAAATGCACCGCCTGCCTCGTCCACCATCATTCACCCTTGATCTGGTAACTTCGTTCTACCCTCCTTATCTTTCCTCCATTGAGGACAATGTCGTGCTTAAGTGTGGGGGGATGTTCGATTATGTATGCGGGTGAATGTTTGGCTGTTTGTGTGCTTGGAGCCTAGTCCACTGTCCAAATTTTTAAATTTGAGGGCTCCAAGTACGTGTTTCCTTGCAAATTGCCTGCTCAGTATGCTTTGAATTGACAGTCTCTATAGTAATGTGCAACCTAGGGGGTAGTGTAGCACTATGGAGGATGTTGAAGT